ACATAAGGTTGTTGGGTCATAATGTGAACATATATTATGCAGACTTGTGAGTTTTATTTGGCACTTATTTGAACATGACCTTGGATTTTGCTTTTACTGTATGTGATGCAGAAATAACATGCTAAAATTTTGGTATACAAATAACTAATGTCCTAGCACATGTCAACACACTGATCTCTACATAACAAAACTTAGACAGGATAAAGCACACTGATATAATCCTTATCAATACAAAGTCATGACAGATATTCCAACATCTTTATATGACATGTTAATCAAACAAGAAACAAAACTGAAAAAATGCAGAATGATAATAATACAAAAATATGATGACGCAGTTCGGTATACAACAACCCCTACTTTGGGGGCTACCAAGCCAGGAAGAAGATTCTACTATAAGTAGTATTATTTTATGTAAACAACTTGAGGTTTACAGGTAAACAACCCTCATTTTACCTAATCACTAACCAATGCAATCTTTATCTTAGAAACCCAACCAAGATAAGAGAAACCCATCTCACTTCCTAAATCACCTCAGTGATATATAGAAGCCACAACCTCTGGTGATCGCATTAAACTACATGAAAGACACCCCCTTTCAATGTAAAGTTCAACAAGACTCTTGACTAAATAACACACTTGGATTTGCTTCAAAGCTTCATCCAAGAACAATATACAATTCATTACCTAAAGATTCTGAATCTGCATAAACAACTATGTCTACCGCAATCTATTAAATCGATACAAAGGGTGACTTACAACACAAGAAAGTACACGACTCTCAAAATACTAAACCCTTATCAAAATTACATTGTGAGAGTTACACTAGTATTAGGGTTGAAGCCTTTTTTTTATAACCTTAAAAGTACTATATTTGGGCTTTAAATCCATAGCTGGTCTGTTGCAGGAAATCAACAGAAACTTCTTCATGAAGATAGGGCTTTATAGATTTGTTACCAAGAAAAAATTTCAACAAATCAGACTTCTATTATCCAGAAGAAATCTCTTATTCTTCAGTGTTGGATGCCACATAGGATTACTTAATATTCTCACTATATTTAGTAGTTTAAAGTCAACTGTATCCAAACTGTAAAATAACTATAACAACCCAGATGTCATATGCTGCTTGTTAGGATATCACATTAGACATGTTGAACCAATAATTTGAAACATCTTATAAAGCATATTTCTACCAAGTTAGTTTTTCTAAAATTAATGCCAATCACAACAAACATAGAAATAACAATCTCCCCCTTTGGCAAATTTTGGCTAAAACTAAATAAATAACCCTTACAAATCTCACATCACAATCATAGGCTTGAAATAGTTCAAACACACAAATATCAGAGCTGCAACAATAGAAAACAATACACCATAGATATGAGCAGCAAGAAGAAACTCTGCAATTGGCCCAAAAAAATTTATTATTTAACATGATTTCAACATGTTAAGACATCATGTTTGAGATCTCTTCTCAGTAGTTTAATTTTGAATAACACTTCCCTTTCACCAAAGAATCAGAAGATTCTCCCCCTTAACAACAACATCGTATATCCAATAGTAGAAACATAGATCCAATAGAAACGAGGTTCACCCTCTTTTCACATAACCACTGAGGAGGAAAACCATGATACCAGATGATGTACATGAGGAAGAAGATGGATGACACTCCCCCTTTGGTGGAATAAGAGAACCCTTAAGAACCAACCAAACACCAAGCTCAACGAAGCATATGATGACTCATTAGTGCATGTTTTAGCCCTGGGTAACTTAGAACACAAGACACAATTGTGTTCATAACTCATATCACAAGACAAAAAAAAACTCAGAGCAAGAGACAAAGAGCAGAATTAAATACTCTATCTAACATCCTTGCAAACCACCGACAAGGAGACTCCAGACTTAAGATAAGAACATAAGCAAAACCAAAAACAAAACTTAACTTTTCTCTCCCGTTTGAGCCAAAAATTTACAAAGATATCCCCTATAAAACCAAAACCAAACCTGGACAAAAGCCATAACAACTTTGATGAAGACTACCTAAGATTCGATGGTAAGAACAAAAGAATTGAATTATTTAAATACCCAAGATGTAACATAGGAATTAACAAATCTCGACTGTAACAATGGTTTTGGTCAAAAAGAGTGTTATTTGAGGAATATAACTGCATCAAACTTTAAGTGAGCATCGTTCAAGTTAGTTTTTTAATTATTTTATTTACTCTAGAAAAATTCTCCTGAAGATGATAGTTCCAATAAATGATCATGCAAGGTCACACACGTGATTCACACTTTCACCTGTCAAGGACTTGTTTACACATTTCAAAAAATTCTCTTGTTAATATCGAAAGAGACAAGTCCTGAACAATGTCCTGACATTCGACCAGAAAAAAATAGCACCTTATTCAACAAACAACCAAAGGTTTTTCATACTAGGCCCACCAAAAGATTCCTCTAGGAGATACTCATAAACATTCACTCTTTGAAGCATAATCATAATGCCTTCCACTAGATTCAACATGTACTCCTTTGATAAGGAACTTGTATCTATCAATAAAGGATTTCCATTGATCTTGACTTTAATTTGCCGAGACAAATAATTTCAAAAATGATTCTCACATTACTCCTAAGGGCATGAGCATGTTTTGATTCAACCCACTGGTTTCTCAATTACAAAATCAAACTCAAAAACACCAGGTCCATCAAGACTTCCACCAGCAACATAATGTCTGGACATCTTGCCTGACATCACATCCTTACAAGAGGAACTTAAACATAGCTTGTGAAACCTTTAAGAAATCTATACGAAGACCACCCTTGTTCAGCAAAACATCCCAGAAAGAAGTTCAATTCCCCCTGTCCCAGTTGACCAATCCCCTTTCGATAAGACCCTCATAAGACTTATCTTTATGTTCACATAGTGGGAAGCATACAACTTTACACACCTTGTTCAACACACCTGCTAAACACGCTTTCATACAGACACAAACGGCTATGCTCCGAGAGAATATTTTCAACCACCCTGGACTATTCATATATCATAGGCATATATGATAAATAGCCTTTCACATATCTCTAATCTTTGGTTAGGAAAGATGTCATTCCTATCAATCACATTATCCAGAAAGACAACTCTCGTTCACTTACCACTCTTTCAAGAGTATCTTGTAGCATACGAAATCACCTCCCTACCAGCGTTCTGATCACAATCCATAACATCCTCAAAGGAAGACTTATTCAAATCAAATGGTTAGTATCAAACTCCAAGTCATCCAAAAGTATGATGTTGCAACATCATATATGAGATCAACATTTTCATAGAAGTCCTCCATAATAATCACAGGTACAACAATATAATAATCTTCAACAACTAGGCCTTGCAAAAGACAGAATACCACTGAGAGAAATAAACTCTCATACTTCTCATGAAGCCTTCACCAGACCCACAAAGATAATACATAGACAATAATCATCCTTAAGCACCTTAAAAGGAGATTCCCTATATAAACACCAAGGCACGAAAGAAACCAACCCCTCCTCAAGTCCTTTGTCTTCTAGTCTTTTGTGTAATCCTCCAAACCTCAAGGTACATCAGTATTTGAAGAGAAAATGACACACATCTCCTGGACCCATGCTTAGACAAAACCTCTCTTGAGCATACATATAACTATGGTTATTTATCATAGTTTCCTACTATGGTGATCAATGGTCTTCTGATCCACCAGTAAGACTGAATCTTTCAGTTTAAAATCCTCCTTGCACCATTGAGAATTCTTGATTCTCATAACAAACAACTTAGATGAGACTCCAAAGCAAGTGCATAAATGCGAGTATATCAACTATTGAGTGATTTACATACGGCTAGAGAATATTCAAATCCCTTTGCACAGTCATGAGTCTAACTCTCGATAAAAGATCAACCTATCCCATGATGATTTAGCTCTATTATAAGCTTTTAAAAAACATCCAAATGTCCAACTTGATGTCAGAACATCAATGTCTTAACTGGCTATAGTCTTGAGAATCATCAGACTTCCACACCACATCCTGTTTTGGATGCCTTCTCAAGTGGACTAAAGTACCATGTTCTCATAGACTTGATCAAGATATCAAGTTTGACACTATGCCAAAATTGAATTTAGACAGCGCCACATAGACAACGCTTATGCCCTAAGCGCTGCTATAGGTTTTCAGTAAAAAAAATTAAAAAATTAGAGTAAGCGCTGTTAAAGGTATACTATAGACATCGCTTATTATAAGCGCTGCTATAGGCCTTACCATAGACAATGCTTTCTTTCCCTAAGCGCTGCTATAGGTTTTCAGTAAATAAAAAATAAAAAAATTAGAATAAGCGCTGCTAAAGGTTATACTTTAGACAACGCTTACTAAAGGCGCTGCTAATGGTGTTATTCTAGGAAGCATTGCTAAAGCCTAAAGCGCTGCTAAAGGGTATACCTTAGACAACACTTTCCAGAAGCGCTGCTAAAGGGTATACCTTAGACAGCACTTTCAAGAAGTGCTGCTAAAGGCATTACTCTAAAAGCGCTGCTAAAGCCTAAAGCATTGCTAAAGGTAATACCTTTAGCAGCGCTTCATGAAAGCGCTGTCTAAGGTAATTAAATAGTGTCTAAATCCCTAGATTGGTTATCAGATTTCAAAAACCCCACTTTATACAAACGAAACCCCACACACCCATAAAACGCTCCTGTTCATCTTCTTCTCTAACTCGTCTCCTCCCTCCTCACCGTCCAACCGTGGTTCATGCCAGAAAGCTTCTGATTTGTTGTCTCGTTGCAAACTTGGGATTCTCCGGTTATACGAGGGCAAGGGCCAGAGGCACGTGAGGGTCATAGTGCGGTTGTTGTTGGGAAACGACTTACAACATCAGGCACACCACCATCTCCTCGTGAAGAAGAAGTTTCGCAAAATCGGTTTCATCTAAGGTAAAATTTCTTCATCCTTTTCCGGTTTCACTATGGAAGCCTGTTAGTAATAAAACAATGATTTGGAATGGTTTTAACTGCAAGAGTTTCGAGTGTTTGAATGGTAGGAAACTGAATAGAGATTGTGTTCATTGCTTTGATTTGGTTAATGGATATGAGAATCAAAGATTTGTTAAGTCTAAGGGTAAGAATGATTTTCTTGTTGATGATGTTTTACAATTAGGAAATGATGGGATTAGAATAGGTTTTGATATTGGAATTGGTTCGGGGTCTTTTGCGGCGGTTATGTCTGAGAGGAATGTTACCATGATTACTAGTACTCTTAATGTTAATGGTCCTTTCAATGAGTTTATCGCGGCGAGAGGAATTTTTCCGGTTTACTTGAGTTTGGATCATAGGTTTCCGTTTGTTCAATCTAGTATTTAACTTAGTAATAGTAAAAAATAACACAAATCATGAATCTTCGAATGAGTTCACAACTAAGCTAATGTCTCTAAAATTGTAACGTTGACGATCATTGATTGAATATGTTATAGGACCACAACAGTAACATGAACTAGGCCTCTAAGGTTGGACCATATTCGTGGCTATGCTCCTTTCACTCACACGTTACAATCCTCATTTCTAGAATTGTTCTAATCACATGTTTCATTTTTGTTGACAACACAGACTCTTTAAATTCATTGTACTCCCACCATATTGCTTATAATCCAAGTTAGTAATAATCAACACAAGAGGTTCACGTAACAATGACATATTCACTTGAATAATAAAATCCGTGTATACTTTGTGTTTTGGCAGAAATGCATTATACCGTTTTGTGCCCTAATTAGTGTTTTTGTTTAACTTAGATAATAGTTAAAACCATGGATAAAATATGGATGTGTGTCGATCGATTGTCAAAAGAGTACGAGAATGGGGTATTAGAGTTCGTTAAGTTTGCTATTGAACACGATGAAGACCCGAATAGAATGAAATGTCCTTTCTTGGGTTGTTGTTATGTGGGTCGGGTTGACGCAGATGGATTGAAATCGCATTTACTAATGCGCGGAATTGGTCGAAGTTATACGTGTTGGATATTTCATGGTGAGAAAAGCATCGAGAATGTTGAACCGGGGGTGAAAAGTAACGCGGCCTATGTTTCGTACGACAATGCCACATATACATATGATTGTGATCGAGTTGAAGAGATTGCAGAAGCACTTGAAGAAGATCTTCAAGATTGTCCCAAAATGTTTGAGAGGTTGGTAAGCGATGCAGAGAAACCGTTGTATAAAGATTGCCCCAAATTCATAAGATTGTCCGCGGTATTAAAATTGTACAACTTAAAGGCGCGCAATGGATGGTCGGATAAAAGTTTCACACAGTTATTAGCCCTTTTGAGAGATATGCTTCCTGAGGATAATGTTCTTCCTAATCGAACCTACGAGGCAAAAAAAATGTTGTGCTCTATTGGCATGAGCTAAGATAAGATACATGCATGTCTAAATGATTGTATTTTGTTTCGAAACGAATATGCATCGTTGAATGAGTTCCCAAAGTACGGTTTATCTCGATATAAGAAAAAATTATCTCCAACGAAAGTCTTATGGTATTTTCCTATTATTCCTAGATTTAGACGCATGTTTCATAGTGAAACCGATGCTAGACACTTGAATTGGCATGCAGATGAAAGAATTATCGATGGAAAGTTTCGACATCCGGCAGATGCACCACAGTGGAAGAAAATTGAGAATGATTATCCTGATTTTGGAGGAGAAACAAGAAACCTTCGCTTGGCATTATCTACGGATGGAATGAACCCGCATGGTCTTCAAAGTATCTCACATTCCACATGGCCTGTGATTCTTATGATTTATAACCTACATCCATGGATATGTATGAAGCGCAAGTACATGATGTTATCTATGTTAATTTCTGGGCCTAAACAACCAGGGAATGACATAGATGTATACTTGAAACCTTTAATCGAAGATTTGAAGATTTTGTGGGAGAACGGTGTGGAGGTTTATGATGGATATAGGAAAGAAAGTTTCAATTTAAGGGCGATGTTGTTTGGCACAATTAACGATTTTCCAGCATATGGAAATCTATCCGGGTATAACATTAAAGGTGAAAAAGCGTGACCTGTCTGTGAAGATGGAACCGATACGACACGATTGAAACTTTGTCAGAAGAATGTCTTTCTCGGTCATCGTAGATTCTTAAATTCAAAAAATCAATATCGTGGATGGAGAAAAGCGTTCAATGGAAATACCGAACAACATAGAGCTCCACCTGGATTGACAGGTGATCAAATTTATGAAAAGGTGAAAGATGTGAGTATTCAGTTTGGCAAGCCTTTTGCACATAAAGTTGTCACAGGTGGGTGGAAGAAGAGGTCAATTTTTTTTGAATTTCCATATTGGAAATCTTTGTACGTAAGACATTTTCTTGATGTTATGCATATTGAAAAAATGTATTTTAAAGTGTTATTGGTATGTTACTCAATATAAAAGGAAAGTCTAAGGATGGCCTTAAAGTAAGAGAGGACATGGTAGAGATGGGAATAAGAACTGAATTAAGACCCGTGAAAAAAGGAAGACGAACATATCTACCACCTGCTGCTTATACTCTATCTAGAAAGGAAAAGAAAATATTGTGTAAGTTTCTGAGTGAAGTTAAAGTTCCAGAAGGTTACTCCTCAGACATTAGAAGACTCGTGTCCATGAAAGACCTCAAGTTAAAGAGTCTGAAGACACATGATTGCCATGTCATAATGGAACATTTTCTACCAATAGGTATACGTTCTATTTTTCTAGAAAAAGTAAGAAGCGCTATAACTAAATTGTGTTTTTTTTCCAGGTCAATTTGTAGTAAGGTGATCGATCCTGAGATCTTACCAGTATTACAAAAAGAAACCGTTATTACTCTGTGTGACCTTGAAATGTATTTTCCTCCATCATTTTTTGACATTATGGTACATCTTGTTGTTCATCTTGTGAAAGAGACACAATTGTGTGGACCAGCTTATATGAGATGGATGTACCCTGTTGAACGTTATATGAAAATATTAAAAGGGTGCATGAAAAACCGAAGTCGTCCAGAGGGTTGTATCATTGAGCGATACGTTGTTGAAGAAGCGGTTGAGTTTTGTACTGATTTTTTGTCCAATGTGCAATCCATTGGACTCCCTAAATCTCATTTTTTCGAAAAAAAAGAAGGTAAAAAATTAATTGGAAATGAAATTGTGACAGTATCAAGGGATGAACGGGATCAAGTGCATTTGTATGTTCTGCACAATGACACTGAGGTTGAGCCGTTTTTTGAAATGCACAAGGCTATACTCCAAGGTGAGAATCAAAGTAGAAATGAAAATTGGATAGTACGAGAGCACAATCAAAGTTTTATATAGTGGTTTAAGGATCATATATATTCAAAGTTTTATTCAGATCCCGCTTCAATATCAGACAGGTTAAGATGTTTGGCATATGGTCCAAGTTCGATTGTGTTCTCTTATAGAGGATACGGAATTAATGGATACATATTTTATACCAAAGAACAAGATGAGAAAAGTACCATGCAAAATAGTGGTGTCACGGTGGTATGTGAAGCAATGCACATTTCTAGTATGAAGGACTTAAACCCCAAATATGAAAATTTGTCATATTTTGGGGTTATCAATCACATCTGGGTGTTTGATTACGAGAAGTTTCAGATTCCTATCTTTGGTTGCAAGTGGGTACATACTAGTGGCATACGAATGGATAAGTCAGGGTTTTTGCAAGTGGATCTTAGTAGGGTGGGGTACAAAGATGAGCCTTTTATTCTAGCCTCTCAAGCTAAACAAGTGTTCTATGTCACAGACCCGAAGAGTACGAAATGATCTATAGTGCTTTTATCTAACAAAGTGATTGATGATAAAAGTGTGGATTAAGTTGATATTGATGTTGAGAATGAGTCGTATATTAGAAACGATCAAGATGAAAATACTACAGCGGATGAATCATATATCAGAAAAGATCATGATGAGGGAATTTGGATCAATCCCTCCGTCCACGTTCTTAAGAGACAAGTAATTCGGAATCTAACCAAGAAAAGAAAGAGATGTTAGTGAAAGAGGTAATATATATTCCTCCATACCTGTTAACACTTAGCAAACTTCTAATAAATTATATGTTTGTCATTTTATATACTCAATTGATATTTGTCATTTTATATACTGAATAGATATTTGGAATTATATATTTGGAATTAAATATTTGTCATTAGATACTAATGTTTTTCTTTATTACAGGTTAGATGACTAGTAACGAGGAGCACCCACACGATGATTCTATTAATGATGGAGACAATGATGGAGGAAAATCCAGTAAGGGAGTGGAAAAAGAAATTAAAAGAGGAAAAACTATTATGAAGAATATCATTCGTGATAGAGATAGAGGTATAAAATACATGTGCATTGGAGTCCAAATGACCAATTAATTGAGCCTAACGGTTCTAAATTGACAAGTTACATTGGTACACTTGTAAGGAGAGAAATTCCAATAACTTGTGATGAGTGGAGAGATGATAAGCTGGATGATGCTAAAAACAAAATCTGGAGTGAGATACAGGTGCTTTAAATTATGTCTTTAAATTACGATTATGTACTTTAAATTATGTCTTTAAATTACTTATACTAACACACTTTGTGTATGTTTTTTGTAGAGGTCTTTCAACATTGATGACAGAAGAAAAGATTATTGTCTTGGATTGGCCGGCAAAATACTAAGAGGGTTTAGAACATATTTAAATAGAAAATATCTTAGAGATGCCGAAAAAAAATTTGTTGATGCAGAGCGTCCAACAGAATATGCAGATGTAATTTCAGTTAAAGAATGGGATGTTTTTAAAGCCAAACAGAAAACCCCAAAATTTCAGAGTGTAAGTGAAGTAAATCATCAAAGAGCATCATCTCCCGCATATCCATACAAAAAAGGGCGTTTGGGATATGCACGATTAGAACAAAAAATGGTAAGTATTTACAAATTGCAATGATATACTTGTTCATCAATAGTTATAACTGAGCTTGTTTTTTATGTTAATGTGTAGTTAAAAGAGGAGAGTAGTTCTCAAACATCTCTTCCGGAGCATGTTTTGTGGAAGGTTGCCCGTGTGGGTAAGGATGGAGTTCTTAAAGAAGATGTACAACACATTTTTGAAAAATGCGTAAGTATAACATTAATTCTAATTAAATCAAAATTTTATTAACATATAGAATTCACGTTTTTCCAATATTCATATGAATTTCAGGAGAGTCTGTCTCAGTCTACATCTCCACCAGATGATTGCAGGAGCATACTTAGTCGAGCATTAGATGTTCGTGAGTATTCTGGTCGGGTGAGGGGTAAAGGACATGGGGTTACTCCAAGCTCCTTGAAAAAGAACAATCCAAAGACAAAATC